AAGAATTTGAGATGAAAGATCTCGAAGTAACAAAATTCTATCTTAGTCTACAGATTAAGCACTTATTGAATGGAATTTTTGTCCATCAACTAAATTATGCTGAAAAGATATTGAAGAGATTTAATATGGATAGATCACATCTTTTAAGCTCTCTAATAGTTGTTCGATCCATTGATGTAAAGAAAGATCCTTTTCAACCTTGTGAAGATAATGAAGAAATCCTTAGTCCTAAGGTACCATATTTAAGTATCATAAGTGCATTGATGTATTTGGCTAATAATACATGACATGCTATCACGTTTTCAGAGAATTTGTTAGCAAGATATAGTTCTACACTAACACGAATTAAGACATTAGAATGATATTAAACATTTATTTTGTTATTTCAAGGAACAAAAGACATGTGATTATTTTACTCAAAACACTCAAAACCAGGGTTAATTAGATATGCAGATATTGAATATTTATCTAATCCATATAAAGAGAGATCACAAACTAGGTATTTGTTCACATATGGTGGTACTTCAATTTCTTGGTATTCAACCAAGTAGATTGTTGTTGCGACATGCTTAAATCACTCATAATTGATTGCCTTTTATGAGGCAAGTCGAGGGTGTGTATGGTTAAGATCTTTGATTCAGTGTGTTCAAGAAACATGTGCTCTTAAAGTAATTATAGGAAATCCGACCTTATTATATGAGGATAATACTGCATGCATTACATAAATAAAGGAAAGATACATCAAAGGAGATAGAATCAAACATATTTTTCCAAAGTTTTTCTCTACACATGAACTTGAAAATGCTGGTGAAATAGATGTTTAGCAAATCAATTCAAATGAGAATCTTAGATCTTTTCACAAAGTCATTGCCTACCTAAGTTTTTGAACAACTTGTAGACAAGATAGGATGCAACATCTTAAAAAGCTTTGTTGAAGTAAGGGGAAGTATTTTGCATACTGCACTCTTTTTCCCTTCATTATGGTTTTCATCCCACTAGGTTTTTCCTAGCAAGGTTTTTAATGAAACAGTTTAAAAGTGTATAACATACAAAGGTGAGCATCCAAGTGGGAGTATTGTGAATTTTTCCTATTGGTGGATGCTTCACCTTCATATTCATCATCTTCTATGTTGTAACTTCGCACCATTAAAAAGTCATTCCTCACCATTAAGGGGTCATTCATAATCCCACTAAAGGCCATTTAAAGATCCATTAAAGTGTTATTCATTCTCTCATTTTGTCATATTCAATAACTAATGTAACTTTCACATATCCCTTACCCTATATATAGACTTACAAATTTGTATAATTTGTACATAGAAGAATATATCGTGAAATAAAAAACTCTCTTTTATTTATTATCTTATTACTTTTCCTCTTATTTTATAATACTTTTAATTTTTTTTCTTTTAAGGATATTAATATTTTTTTAAAATTTATTTATCATGTTAATATTATTATTTAATTAAATTTTAAATTAAAATTTAATATTATTATCTAAAATTAAAAAAATTAATACCTCTAAATAGAAAAAATATAAAATTAACATATTTATTTTCACCTTTGCCCCTCTAATCAAGCCACTAATTTAACGGCTTTCCTTGGCCGCTTCTTTCTCTGTGTGTCCTGTCCTACAGAGGGCCGACCCTTTTTCTCTCTCGCAAAATTCTTTTAAATTTAAATTAGAGACGGAACATGCTAACTTTATTTATTTGTTTATTTTTTTTAAGTAATTAAAATCCCACAAACAGCTGAAAGCTCCGATCTTCTTCTTCTATTAATAACTTTTCTTATTCATCGTCTCCACACAAGTATCCAGCTCTTTCATTCTTCTTTCTCTGAATGTTCTTTTCTACTCAGATCAACGTCCTTTTTGGAGGTATTCTTTTAGTCCTTTTGTTTCATGATGCTTTCTGCAAGGATCTTCTGTAGATCTCAATCTGTTGTGATATCGATCTCTTCGCCATTTCATCATCTCCATTGCTTTCATTGATAATTTTCTGAATAAAGGGACTCCGTTTCGTACTTTAGCATAGATCTACGTGTTTTCAACCATTTTCATCTATTCATGCTAAATTCCCTTTCTTCTAGCATTGATTCGTAACTGCTTTCGAGTAAGTAAAGGCTTCAAGTTTCACTTTCGTCTTTCAATTTTGTTTTGTATATATAAATCCGTTTCTTTCATCTGGATCTGACTTCTTTTTTTTTCCCTTTTTGGTTGTATCTTAGATTTATATTCCCTAGCTAAAATGAAAATGTAATAATGTTGGTTTTGTTGTTAAGAAGTAATCTCATCTAAGTTTTCTAAAGCGTTGTGCGTTGTAGGTAATTCCAGGTTTTTGGAATTGTGACTGATCTTCTTCTTTTCCCTTTTGGTTGCTCTTTAGGTGTACAAACTTTAGAGTTTATTGAAATACAATAAATCATGGCATTAGGAAAATATACTAGAATAGATAATAACAGGAGGTCTTCATCAACTTATTGTTCCACGGTCACAATTGTGGTGTTTGTCGCCCTGTGCTTAGTTGGGATATGGATAATGACATCTTCATCTGTTGTCCCCGTCCAAAATGGGGATGATAACCCTCAAGAAAAGAAAAGTGAGGTTAAGGAAGAGGGTACCCAGGTGATTACTGAGAGCAGTGGGAGCAATGCCCAGCAATTTGAAGATAATACCGGCGATCTACCTGATGATGCAACAAAGGGGGATGGCAATACTAATCTAGCTCAGGGTGAGAGCAACTCAAGTACTGAAGAAAAGCAGGAGAAATCTCAAGAGGTTTATGCCTCAAGTGAGGGGTTCAAGTTGAGTGATGGCGTGAAAACGTCAAATGATCAAGAGAGTAACTCAGATGATGGGATTTTTAAGAAGGAAGAAAAACAATCAGATTCAGATGATGGAGTGCCAAAAACTGATACAGATGAGAGTTCTGGTGGACTAAGAGACTCTGAAGAGAATTCCAAACAGAAGAAATCTGATGCAGAATCAGATGGGGATGAGAAGAAATTTGATTCAGGTGATACTGAGAAAAAATCTGATTTGGATGATAGTGGCTCAAAACAGGATAACAGCTCGAGTCAAACCAATGAAGAAACCGTTGATACTCAGGTAGAGGTGAAGGTAGAGCAAAATGATAGCAATGCATTGGAGAAAAGATCTGATGAGAAGGATGGCAATCAGGAGAAAAACGAGAGCTCAAATGAAGTCTTTCCTTCTGCTGCTTTGCCAGAACTTTTGAATGAAACTGTGGCTCAGAACGGGTCATTTGCTACTCAGGCTACAGAGTCAAAGAATGAAAAGGAGGCTCATTTGTCTTCTAATGGGCAAAATGGATTCAGTTGGAAACTTTGTAACAGCACTGCTGGTCCTGATTACATCCCATGCCTGGACAATTGGCAAGCAATTAAGAACCTCCATTCTACAAAGCATTATGAACATCGAGAGAGGCACTGCCCTCAAGAACCCCCCACCTGCCTTGTTCCTCTTCTTGAGGGATACAAACACTCGATTGAGTGGCCAAAAAGCAGGGAGAAGGTACTTTAGCTTAGTTTAAGCTTTTGCATGTCTCATTTTCTTATCTTCTTTCCCACACAAACTGAAAATCTACTGCCTGCAGATATGGTACTCAAATGTTCCCCACACAAAGCTTGCAGAATATAAGGGGCATCAGAATTGGGTAAAAGTCACAGGAGAATATCTCACTTTTCCTGGTGGTGGAACTCAATTCAAGCACGGTGCTCTTCATTATATTGACTTCATACAGGAGGTGAGCACTTAAGTTGAATAAACCTTCAAAACCCGTTCTATCATGTATTGTTCTGTCTCTGCTTTTTAGATGTCCCATGATGGTGCTTACATGGTGCATATAACAAGTAGCAAAACTAATTAAATTTTGGAAACAGTGAGGGGGTAATATTCTCTTTATTTCCATTGTTTTTCAACCAGGTTTTGTCCTGTAATTTAAATCTTTAATTTCACCTTCTTAATGAAATTTCCAAGGGAACCTTGTCTTAATTTGAGGAACTGGTATTTGATTTAGTTTGTGCCAGGCATTATATTAAATCTGATTTTTTGCAGGATTGTCAAGCCATATCTGGGTGCTATAGTGGCATGTTATTTAAATAAGACAGTTTCCTCATAACCATACTCTCTAAAAGGCAGACAATTCTCTCTAGGTTAAGAATGCATCGGTCAATGTTTAACTTTTGTAAGGCAGAAATTCAATCCCTCTTGTTGTTGAAGTCAAATCTCTATGTTAGAAATGTGAGGAAACATTACTTGACTTAGGATACTTTCTTTCTTTCTTTAAAATGTGGTAGATTTGTGTGTGGTTCTTGTAAAGTACCATGTGGATTTCAACAGTAGGAAGTTAAGTTTTGAGTATGTTTTAATCCTCGACATAGAATTGACACAACAATGACACATATGAAAATGCAGCTTAACTGTCAGCCTCTCTTGCTCATTTTCACTGTGTTTGCTTCAATTTTCCTTAATGATTAATGTTGATGGATGTATTTATTCAGTCTGTGCCTGATATTGCGTGGGGGAAGAGATCTCGTGTGGTTTTGGATGTTGGATGTGGGGTTGCCAGTTTTGGAGGTTTTCTCTTTGACAGAAATGTGCTCACCATGTCGTTTGCTCCGAAAGATGAGCATGAAGCCCAGGTACAATTTGCACTAGAGAGAGGGATTCCTGCCATATCTGCTGTGATGGGTACACAGAGACTTCCCTTTCCTGGCAAAGTTTTTGATGTTGTTCACTGTGCACGTTGTAGGGTCCCATGGCATATAGAAGGTACTTGTATTCCTTTCACAAATCCCATGCTTTGGTTTTGCTGGAAAACATTGGTGCTTGCCAAGTAATCTCTTAGTGTAATCCATTTCATAAAAATTTTCAGTTACTTTGGCATTTGATGTTGCTTGGAAGTTCACTGAGATTGATGAAATACAGGTGGTAAACTCCTTCTGGAGCTGAATCGTGTGTTGCGACCTGGTGGTTTCTTTGTGTGGTCTGCAACTCCTATTTATCAGAAGCTTACTGAAGATGTTGAGATTTGGCGAGGTAGATGATTCACCATGCTAACACTGGATCTTGTTAATGAAGTTTCCTGCTTCTTATAGATTGTGAATTTGTGAATTCTCTGCAGCTATGAGTGAACTAACAAAAGCCATGTGCTGGAAACTTGTGAACAAAACTTCAAAGGATGCAGTAAATGGGGTTGCAGTAGCAGTATACAGGAAGCCTACTTCTAATGAGTGCTATGAGCAAAGATCACAGCAAGAGCCTCCACTTTGCAAGCAGTCTGATGATCCAAATGCAGCCTGGTGATTTTCCTGTTTTTCTTTGAACGGCTAGAAACCAGTTTAACAAAATAAAAATGCTTCTACTCAAAATTTAGGCACTAGCCTTCATTTCAGAATGGGCTAAGATCCAAGCATTTATTAATTGGGGAAAGCTGAAAACTTAAAAGGATTCATAAATGGAAAGAATATCATCAATCAAAAAGAATGGGATAAACTTTTCAGTACAAGACAACACATTCATTAAACTCTTTTGATACCCAATTAGATGTCTGATTTAATTACTGTTTATAGGAATGTGCCACTGCAAGATTGCATGCATAAGGTGCCAGTAGATTCATCAGAACGTGGATCTCAGTGGCCTGAGCAGTGGCCAGCAAGGTTGGATAAATCACCTTATTGGTTGATGAGTTCCCAAGTTGGAGTTTATGGTAAAGCTGCACCAGAGGATTTCACTACAGACAATGAGCACTGGAAACGGGTAGTATCCAAGTCTTATCTGAAGGGGCTGGGAATAAACTGGTCAACTGTGAGAAATGTCATGGATATGAGAGCTGTTTATGGAGGGTAAGTAAAATGCGAAATGTTTTTTTTTTTTTTTTCCATGTATGAGACTTTACACTTAGACAACTTGACCTTGTGTTTTTTTTTTTTTAATTTTTAGTCATCTTTTTCTTGGTTTACTTTTTGATCTGCTCACAGATTTGCTGCGGCTCTGAAAGATTTGAATGTATGGGTCATGAATGTGGTACCAATTGATTCTCCAGATACACTTCCCATTATTTATGAACGAGGTCTATTTGGTATTTATCATGACTGGTGTGAATCATTTAGCACCTATCCTAGATCTTATGATCTTCTCCATGCAGACCATCTTTTCTCCAAGGTTAAGAAGAGGTTTGTATCAATATCATCCCTACCCTGACCAGTCATCTTATGTGAAATACCTCCACTAGCAAAAATACAGAAATGTCTGGCATTACCTGAAATTGTGATGACCTCCTTAGAAATTCTTTAGATTTATTTTGTCACAATTACAATTTGCTCTACTTTTTGTCCTTCTGGTCAATATTTGTATCTTCAACGAGTTGTGATTGCAGTGGCATTTTTTTATCACATAATTTACTAATGTCAAGTGGTATGACTATGAGCTTCCATTTGACTTTGCAATGGTTTGTGGTTATTGTAGATGCAATATGGTGGCCTTGATTGCAGAAGTTGATAGAATGCTCAGGCCAGAAGGAAAGCTCATTGTCCGGGACGATGTTGAGACCATTAACCAAGTGGAGAATTTGGTCAAATCCATGCAGTGGGAAGTGCGCATGACTTACTCAAAGGATGCGGAGGGATTGCTCAGCGTTCAGAAATCCTTGTGGCGACCTAAAGAGGTTGAGACACTCACTTATGCCCTTGCCTAAGCCTGCCTCTTCTGTCATTCATCTGCTTTTCTTATTCTCGAGGCTGTCAAGTTTAAGAGTTTAAGGTATTCTTTCCTGTTCTGTTGCTAATACACGTGACGTGAACTAGATCTTAGATCTCTATGTTTTGCCCCCCCGTGTACCATGTTGAATAGGCCTTTAGCATTCATTCGTCTTTCTCTATTTATCCTTTATTTTATCTCAGTTTTCGATTTATTTTTCGAAAGCTTGGTGCCGAAATTCAGTTTAATTTCATAGTAATACTGAAATCATTCTTGAAGTGTTAAAACATTGATTATAAACTCGTGACAAACTATATATTCTTGATTTTGTTGTGTGAAATGCACTTGCAGTCGAATTTCTTTTTTTATCTGCAATCTTTTATATAAATTGGCCTATTATTTGCAAAATATAGGCAAGGTTGATTGGAAGCGTTTGCTTGTTGCGGAATGCGCAAATCCACCCCACAATTGTGACATTAGGGATTAAGGGTATTCGCGGTGTAGTTTGGTTCAGATTTTAATATTTTTTAAATCAATCTAATTTAATTTATTAATAAAATTTTTAAATCAATTCAATTCATCATTATATGATAATCAAACTAATTTAATTTAAATCAGATTGGTGTGATTGAGTTGGATTGATTGGTTTTTAACATTATTAAATATGAGATAATACAAAAAATTTTAACATTAAATAAAAAATATAGTTATAAAATACATTAACATTCAAGTTACTAGAAACATATTAAAATGTATAAATTATAAACAAGTTTTTATACTCATTTACAATTGTAAAAATTGAAAAGATTTAGAAATTCTTCTTGATTATATAACTAGAGGCATCAACAATAAAAAAGATAACTTTAAATTTTAAATATGGTACAAGTAATTCTTAAAAGTTAAAATTAATTTTTTTACTTAATGCAACAAATGATTCAATCTCATCTTCCAAGTCTTGTTAAAAGCAATTAAAATTTAACATAAATGTCATTAGAAATGATTAGAAATATTCATAATTAAAATTTAAAATGTCTTAACCAAATATCAAAAAATAATAGAATATCAAATTAAGTTCTATTATATAGTTTTAAGACTTAAAATGATATTTTTTAAAATTTAATTAAGAGAATCAAAATATTATTTTAAGAACAAATTAAAAATTTAGAGTTCTCAAAATAGAGTCATAGATTAATTATAATAAATAAAATTATAAGTGAATTGAAAATTTAGAATTACAGTTAAAGTGCACGATTTAAAGAGGAAAATAAATTAGAGAATATAAAGATATGTTATTTTTATTTTTAAATTAAGTTAATAAAGTTATTATCTTATAAAATAAGAAAAAATTTTAAAATATTACAAAAATATATATTATATTATTCAATTAAATTATTGTGTAGTCAGATTTTATTTTGTAATCGGACGATTCAACCAATTTAAAAGTAAAATTAAAAACCAGACCAATTATATTGGTTTTAAAATTTTATAATCCAAACCAACTTAATTTTATATTAATTTGGTTCAGTTTAAGTCAGATCAATCGGTGTGGATTGAATGTGAACATCCCTATTAGGGACAAATCCACAAACTCTAATAAGGTGACTCAATGATTAAAAATTTGAAACTCTAAATTAAAAATCTCAATTTTGAGTTTTAAGTTAGGTTTTAAGTCGGGTGGAGAGATTTGAAAATAAAGGAGAGTTACCATATAATTAAATATATAAAAAAATTAAGGACAAATTCACTCAATAAAAAGTAAGATAAATTACTTTACAAATTAAAAGATCTGAACAAATTATTCAAAATTTAATATATGAGCTCATGTCACCTTATGAATATGTTAACTTATTACATAGTAATTTTTAATAGCTATACCCTAGCATAGACCATGTATCTATTGGGTTTTTTAAGAGAGCATAGCAAAAGCCGAAGTAAAAAATATTTTTCTTTCAACCTATTTGGAATCTTTATAAATGTATTAACGTTAAGAATGGTTAATGATCAAGATCTCAATAAAGTGTCTCGTTAGTGTGTAGTTATAATCTGCAAATTTTCGCACAAAACTAAAAGTTTAATGGTACAATTTCTCTACTTATAATCCGTATGTATGCCATGGCGATTCGAAGAAAACTAGATCGGTGCTGGTAACAGAAACGTTTAAACCCCAATTTAGTCCTTGTGCTTTGCTCAAAGCTCAAGTTTGGTCCTTATACTTTAAAAAGCCCTTTTGTCCTTAAAGTTTATTTTTTGCCCCTTTTTGGTCCCTTCATTAACTTTTAGCCGCACCTGGCCCATTACTTGACAAGATTTTCTTATTTTCCATTTAAATTGATGATGGGGAACCCACCACGAGGCAAGGACGAGTGGTATTTTCTTTTCATGAAATTTCATAGAGAATTTTTCTTGACCCACATGATGTTGTAGGATCCTTGTCCTCATGAAAAATTAAAAAATTAAGAAAAAAATATTAAATTCAATACAATTTAAATATTTAACTTATAATCATACTCATACTCACACTCTTTTTTAAGTTTAATTCAATGCTAAAGTTCAATTATTTTAAATCAAACCATATTTAACACTTTTTCTTTTACTTTAAACCATCTAAAATTTTTTAAAATAATTAAATTAATTTTATAATATAATTGGTAGCTAGGGGGTGGAGGATTCACACGAAGACCCATTTCTTGTAGATAATAGGAACGGGGGCAAATTCTATCCTTAGTAAAAAATCCCTATAGAATCTCCATTCTCGTAATCAATAGGGATGGGAATAGGGAGGCATTCCTTGACCTTGTAGGACTTTGTTGCCATCCTTATTGTGTCAAGGAAAATAAGGCAAAAATTATAACTTTTACCCTTCTTTTATTATACCATTGAGATGTGAAAAATACAGAAACAACTTTATGAAAGGAAAATTTTGAGCGGAGGGTTTTGACCCTCCAAACCAAATGTACCCTAAAGGCAAAGTGGCCTTTACCACTTGCTTGACATGTTGGGAACAAGTACACAATTTTTCTTTCTTTTTCTTGTAGAGATAAGAGATTATTCTCTCAAACTCGAGCTAAGGCAATTCTTATAAAGAATTGTAATTTCTTAGTTTCTTTTTATAAAATTAAGATTGGGTATTGATAAAAAGCTCTTTGGTGACACCCCTATGATTCCAATGACTTTCTGATTGCGAGTTAAGTGTTCATACAAGGCTAAAACCCAATTTAAGCCTTAGATTTTCCCCATATTCTCACATAAGCCTTCAAATAAAAAAAACTAACACACAAGCCTTCCGAACATCCCCATTTTAGCAGTTTAGCCCTTTTAAGAACCAGATTACATGATGATCTCACTTTTCAACTACCCCACGCTTATTATTTGGTCTTTTTATTTGAGTTGCCATTGACATAACAAAGATTTTCTTCTCCTCTCGCTGATTTAGCCTATTTAATCCAACATGACAATAAAATTTCTATTACATCCTCATCTTCTTACTTTTTCTCATCCATCCATACTGCAATTTTGGAGGAAAGAAATGACCTGATCATTTTATGAAAATTAAAATTACTAGTTACTCATCAATTTGAAACAAGAAAAAAATAAAACTTAGCTAAATATAGAATGAAAACAAAATTAAATCCCAAAAATTAGAACAAACCTTCACCTTCACTTGTTGTACTCTTCTTTGGCCAGGATTTTTTACTTTGGGCATGCCAAGTACATCATCATCAACACTAACAATGGCCACCCTTGCAGTAGTTCTCATCGTCACAATAAGAAATTGAAAACCCCTTTATCCTTTTATTAGATGATTTAATTTTAAAATTATGCATCAAAGATTTGTCTACAAAATTGGAGAGTAAAATTTACCATCACCTATAAATAATTATTAGTATTACTATTATCTCATAGTTAAGAAAATCAAGAATAACAAAAAAAAAGTGACAAGAACGTACTAACCATTTTATAAAAGAATCTGATTTGTTATAGTTTGTATTAGATTGATTACAGAACACCAACCTTGGATGAAGGGGTCCTCTCCCATTATTAGAGGTTTCTCATAATCCAATAGTTCTGCTTTGTAATCTTGATTATAAAATATTTTTTTATTTATTGAAACCCAACAATCCAAATTCTAAAATTAAAACTGATTTTTTTTATCAATAATATTTCGGAAATTAGATTCTTCGACTCAAAATATAGTTGGATGGTATGACTTCCAATTCTTTTCAAAAACATGATCATTGCACTCTAAGATTTTGCATTTCTCACTGGCTTCTCGCCAAACACAAAACTTGCATAAAGAACAGCCAAATCTTACATCATAATATGGATTAGAATTCAAATAAAATAAATAAATTTGAAATATAATATGATTTTTCGAGTATGAATTTCTTGCTGAGAACCAAAATCTGGGTTCTCTAAACCTTCCTCGCAAATTTGCTTTCCAATACAACCTTCAACGTTGCTTAAACACCAATTGTCCTCAACACCAAATCACCATTTAACTCCTGGCCAAACATAATAAACTTCCTTTCCTCATCTACTTCCACCAAACTTCCTTTTCTCATCTACGGCCACCCTGTTGGGTTCAAAGTGAAGTTACACGAGTTTTGTTGCGACAAAACTATGCTATTTTTCTTATCGAAACTTTGATCTTCTTCTTCTTGTTCAATTCTTGAAATTAAAAAT